ATCCTCCCCGTGCTCGTCCCCGATTTCCCGATCGATCGGAGGCCGGTCCGCGGCACCCGGTAACGAGAGGCGTCCGCCGGAACGTTGTTGACGCGTGCACGCTCCTCCGGTTCCGGGAGAGCGCGTGGACGGAATCTGTTACTGCCGGACGGACTGATCTGCTTACTGGCGGACTTCTTCAAGGTATTTCTTTCTTACGGTCGTTGTTGGCGCACCCGGGGAATCCGATTCGGTGGATCTCCGGGTTTAGAGGGATTGCTAACCTGCTAACCGTGGGATTTGGTTTGAGTCTCTCGTTTCGATGGAATGAAAGATGATGCGTGTATTCGTGGTGCAGGACGAATGCGATTGGAGTATACTTTGAATGACGAACTAAAGCGGAATAAGAAATGCATGTTTATCTGGAGTAGATAAAATGTCTGTAAATTGAAATAAATGTTTAACCACTTGCGCTGGAAAGAAAAAATTTTCAATTGTCTTTCACACGTTGACAATCTTGTTGCATTACGCCCATTAGATTGTCTTGAAATGTATCACTCTATACAGAATGATTAACAAGCAAAATATTTGCACGTATCAGCGTAAAATAGGTGAAACAAAATTCAAGTGCAAAATTTTCAATTATGTCTTTCACACATTCACAATCTTGTTGCATTACGCCTATTAGATTGTCTTGAGATGTATCAGTCTATACAGAATGATTAACAAATAAAATTGCTGCACATATCAGCGTAGAATAGGTGAAAACAAAATTCAAGTGCAAAATTAACATGTTCGCTATCGATGTTACATTGAACGCCGGCTAAATTTCAGCTACTGGAAACGCGGGCGTCGGTGATTATATCGATACATTTTTAAACATCGATGAACCCTTTGCGCTCGAGAGGCGCCTTTCACTCGCCGTTTGATTTAAACCAACGAAATTATAAAATTGAAAATTCAATATTAAATTTCCTATAATCCACCAACACATGGAGCATCGAAATAAAATGGTTCCGTCGCTTAATTTATGCAAGGTATTTCTTTATATTAATTGTAAAAAATATTCAAGTTACAATGACGTTAAACTTTCACGCCCGAGTGTATAAAAGTTGAAGTTAACTGATAAC